TTTAGTTTCTCATTGTGAAACCTGTCACTTTGCCAAACATAAGAGGCTTTCATTTCCTGTTAGTAGCAGTAGAGCAGTTGGTGCTTTTGATCTCATTCATGTAGACATCTGGGGACCATTGGCAACTAAGTCTCATGAAGGATACTCTTATTTTCTTACTGTTGTTGATGACTTTTCTCGGGCAGTTTGGGTGTTCTTGATGAAATTTAAGTCTGAAGCAGGTTTTCTGCTGCAAAGTTTTTGTGTCATGGTTGACAGGCAGTTTTCAAAAACTGTCAAAATCATTCGAAGTGATCAGGGCTCTGAGTTTCATTTAGCTGAGTTTTATTCTGATAAAGGCATTATGCATCAGCAGTCTTGTGTAGAAACTCCAGAGCAGAATGCTCGAGTAGAGAGGAAGCATCAGCATATCCTCAATGTTGCTCGAGCACTTCGTTTCCAATCTGGTGTCCCCCTCAAATTTTGGAGGGACTGTGTCCTCCATGCTGTCTATTTGATCAATAGACTTCCTAGTTCAGTTCTTAACAACATCTCCCCTTATGAACTTCTCTATAACAAACCTCCCACTCTTACCAACTTGAAAGTCTTTGGATCCCTTTGCTATGCTTCTACTCTTCACAGGGATAGAACCAAGTTTGATTCAAGGGCTAAACAGTGCATCTTCCTTGGTTTCCCCACTGGAATCAAAGGATTCAAACTTTTTGACCTCAATTCTCATTCCTTCTTTGTTTCCAGGGATGTGATCTTTTATGAATCTATCCTACCTTTCCAAACCAACCCTTCTACTTCTATTCCTGATTTGATTTCCCCCCAACTCACTCCTATCCCAGCTCCCATTTCATCTACACCCTCTTCCTCCACTCATCAGCCTGTTAACTTCCAGTCTAGTTCTCTTCCTACTGAGACTATTCCTCTTTCCACTACTCCACTTTCTTCTCCTGATCCTGTTTCCACTCATATTTCTAGTCCTTCTTCTGCTCCTAATTCTTCTTCTTCACCACTGTATTCTTCTTCTAGTGGTGTCCCACCTGTCAGTTTACAGTCTGAGGGGGAGGATATGGAGATTGAGGTGTTTCCTGATAACAATGACTCTGATGAAGCTGAGTTTTTAAGGAAATCTACCAGGCACAGGACTAAACCTATTTGGCATAAAGATTATCATGTGAGTATGGCTGCCACATCAAGTAAACATCACATCTGTCATCTTGTTGGGTATGATCATCTCACTGCTTCTCAGAAATCTTTTGCCCTTAATGTTCTGTGTATTGAGGAACCTACATCTTATGCTGAGGCATGCAAGGATCCTCGTTGGTTGCAAGCCTGTAAAGAAGAAGTGTTTGCATTGTATGAAAACCAGACTTGGGAGGTGGTTAAACTGCCTCCAGGGAAGAAACCTATAGGAGCTAAGTGGGTCTTTAAGGTTAAGTACAGGTCTGATGGAGCTATTGAAAGGTTTAAGGCACGGCTAGTTGCTAAGGGATACACTCAAATTTATGGCATCGATTTCTTGGATACTTATTCACCTGTTGCAAAGATAAATTCAGTTAAAACATTATTAGCAGTAGCTGCTGCCAAGGACTGGCACATTCATCAAATGGATGTGTCTAATGCTTTTCTGCATGGAGACTTAGATGAGGAGGTGTATTTGGAAATTCCACCTGGAGTTGATGTGCCCAGGGACTCAGGTTTGGTGTTTAAACTCAAGAAATCATTGTATGGCCTTAAGCAGGCAAGCAGACAATGGTTTTCTAAACTGGCCAATGCATTATTGAAGAATGGCTATTCTCAAACTGCATCTGATTATTCAATGTTTGTGAGATGGATACAAGGGAGAGTTGTGGTAGTCCTTGTTTATGTAGATGACATTCTAATTGCTGGAAGTCACCTTGGAGATATCCAGCAGCTTAAAACCTTCCTGAGTAAAGAATTCAAAGTAAAGGATTTGGGCCAGATGAGTTATTTTCTTGGATTAGAGGTCATCAGGGATCACAAAGGGATTTCTGTTTGTCAGAGAAAGTATTGTCTAGAGTTACTTGATGACACTGGTTTTGTAGAATCTAAGGGTTGTTTGTCTCCAGTGGACTGCAATGCCAAGTTCTCCACAGAGCAAGGTGACTTGTTGCCTGATCCAGGCGTGTACAGAAGGTTGATAGGACGTTTGCACTATCTCACCATTACAAGACCTGATATAACCTATGCTGTACAACAACTTGCTCAATTCCAGGCTGCACCCTGTACTGAACACTTACAAGCTGCACACAGAGTTATCAGGTATCTTAAACAAACTCTTGGACAAGGTTTGATTTTCAGGGCAGATTCTAAACTTGAACTTTCTGGATATTGTGATGCTGATTGGGCAAGCTGCCCTGATTCAAGGAGATCTCTCACTGGTTACTGTACATTTTTGGGATCTTCATTGATAACTTGGAAAACTAAGAAACAGACTACTGTGTCACGTTCTTCCTCAGAAGCAGAGTATAGAGCTTTGGCTCAAGTTGTCTGCGAGGTTCAATGGCTGAGGAACTTGCTTACAGAGATGGGAATTAAGGTACCTTTACCCATTCCTTTGTTTTGTGACAATAAGTCTGCTTTGCACATCGCTGAAAATCCAGTTTTCCACGAGAGAACAAAGCATATTGAGATCGATTGCCATGTTACAAGAGAAAGATTGAAGTCAGGGTTGATCAAGCTATTTCATGTTAGAACTGATGATCAAGTGGCGGATCTGTTTACAAAAGGCATGACTCGATACAGATTGAAGTTCTTGTTGGACAAGCTGGGAGTTCACAATGCTTACTCGCCAGCTTGTGGGGGAGTATCAAGTGAAGAAGATGAAGAACACTCTGCAGAGTAACAGAGATGAAGACTGCAGAGCTTGCTGAAGAAACGAAGAAGAAGAAGAAGAAACCTCACCCAGAAACGGAAACGTTTCTGGGTTCCCTTCCATCCAACTTAAGCGAAAAACGAAACGACGCCGTTGTGGAGTTCTGTTAACTTACCGTTGGGTGGAATGAGTTATAACGAATGAGACTGTGCCAAGTGGCTTTTACCATTACAGTCATTTTAAATTTCTGTTTATCATTTCCATTTTCACTGTTTGTATCTTCAGCTTGACACTACTGATTGATATATAAACAAAGCCAGAGAGATCCTTTCTCTTTGCGCATTCCCTAATTCATTGTGCCGTCTTCTTCCTTCCGCTAAACCCTAAAGCTCCAGCTGATCTGAAAGCGCCTCCTCCCAGCTAGTTTTGACGGCCGCCGCTCGATTCTCGTCCCTTCTAGCTACCAACGGATCGGTTCTGGGCTCTATAAACAAGAACCTGGACTGGGTTCATCTCGTGTTGAGCGAGTACGCTGTTCCGAGCTTGAACCAGTCGAAGACGGCTGCCCATTACCCGTTGCGGGACCCGAATGGAGGATCCGGGTTGGATTCCGACGTTGAGGAATGGATGAGTAGAGGGTTCTCCCTCAGCAGGTTTGTGCTCGGGTTGCCCTTCTCTGGATACGCTTGGACGCTCGTGGACCCAAACAACAATGGAATCGGAGCGGCAGCAAGAGGCGCGGCGTTAAGCTCGAATGGGTTGGTGTGGTATTCCGATATCAAGAAGTACGTAAGGAGGTATGGGGTCAAAATTTCGTATAGTGCTGTTTATACGACGAACTACTGCTCATTTGGGTCGACATGGATCGGTTTTGAGGACGTTGAGGCTGTCGGAGCAAAGGTTTCTTACGCCATGGACAAGGGGTTTCTGGGTTATTTTGCCTGGCAGATTCCTTATGATGACAACTGGGCACTTTCTAGAGCTGGTATAGTAGCTTGATACTTCTGCTTCTGCTGTTCTAATATGTTTGTTTGAGCTTTCTGGAAACATAGAACTGAAAGGAGAAATTCTTTGCTTCAGCATTTGATGCAACAGCTCCAGCAAAACCGGGTAAACGCCAGAGAAAGCTATGGTTAGTCATAACCATTGTAGTTGCAGCTACTGGAGCACTGGCCATTGGGATCCTTGTGTTTTGTTTCATTAGAAAGAAGAGGTCCCGATCCAAAGGTAATAGTTGGCTCCTCTTTCGGTCAATGCTCCATCATTTTTCTTGGTTGTTGAACAAGTGAACTATTGAAACGGCATGTTCTGTTGTTGGTGTGATCCCGGGTGGCTGGTAGGTGATAGAACGGAGGCTTTAGAATCCAAGTTGGATGAGAATGAAACAATACCTCCTGAAGAATTTGATGCCAGGAATATTGGGTTGACGAGATACAGCTTATCAGAAATGGAGAGAGCCACAGATGGGTTTGCAAGTGAAAACAAGCTTGGACAAGGCGGCTATGGCCCTGTTTTTAAGGTACTAACTACTACGGATTGTGAGAGACTTTCTAAGGAGGTAAGAACTAATAACAGCCTGTTAACTTTGGTTATTGGCAGGGGTTGCTACCAGGAGGAGAAGAAGTAGCAGTGAAGAAGCTATCATACTCATCGACCCAAGGTTACGCAGAATTCGAGAACGAGGTTTTGCTTACAGCGAAACTCCAACATGTAAACCTCGTCAGGCTTCTCGGATTCTGCATTGACGAGGAAGAGCATATGTTGGTCTATGAGTTCATGCCCAACAATAGCTTGGACAAGTATCTGTTTGGTATGTAACTTCTTGCACTTTTGTAGCGTCACTTTCTTATTCCCTTTAACTCTCTAAAAACTGATACCTTCACTGCTGAACTTCTCCACTTAGATTCTGTCAAGAGACTACAATTGAACTGGAGGAAAAGAGTGGAGATCATAGAAGGAGTGACTCAAGGCCTTCTTTATCTCCAGAAGTACTCCAGGCTAACTGTTATCCATCGTGACTTGAAACCCAGCAACATTCTTCTTGATTCTGGTATGAATCCCAGGATCTCAGATTTCGGTTTGGCCAGAATTTTTGTCAGAGGTGCAGAAGAAGCTAACACCGAGCGGGTTTTTGCAACGATGTAAGTCAATTTAGTAACCATTGTCTAAGAAACATAACTTGTGTATAGTTTTCCCTGCTGATTTCCATAGTTTATCAGAATATCTCTTGCCTGACCTTGCAGAGGTTATGCTCCACCTGAATATCTGAATGAAGGGGTTTACTCAGCGAAATCGGATGTGTTCAGCTTCGGGGTCCTTCTCTTACAAATCATAAGTGGGAAGATAATTGCTTCTGTTTATGGCGAACAGAAGAAACTGAACCTCTTGGATTACGTAAGTTAACTATTAGAAACAAATACGAAAGTGAAGCAATCCTGAAACTCTTCCACATTCTTTACTGAACTTCAAATAGGATAATTCTATGATTAGGAATCTGGAAGTGCATTTAAAGAACATAAACCACATCTATGTTGTTCAATAAGTGCTTCTGTGTTCCCTACGTTCTTTATATTCGAATTTCACGTGCAAAATAGAATCTTTCATTGACATGTAAAGTGTTTTTTCTGAGTATCAGCTGACCTTCTCGACTACATCTCTCAATTCACAGGCTTACGAGATGTGGAAAGATGGGAGGGGAATGGAAGTAATGGATTCTTCATTGGATGACTCAAGAAGTTCATGTAAATTGATGACTTGCCTGCAGATTTCTCTGCTCTGCGTCCAGGGAAATCCTGAGGACAGACCTTCAATGGCTGATGTTGCTTTCATGCTCAGAAATTACACAGCGGCTTTGGGCATTCCATTAAGGCCTGTTTTTCCTAGAAAGGATGATGTGACGATGAAGAGAATGCCAACAAATGATCTCCAAGCTTGCCCTGAAGACGAAACAATATGGACAGAACTTGAAGCTCGGTAACTACGCTCTCCTTCTTCAAACCATAAATGTACTAATTTAGACTGAACTAAAAGTGAAGGAGAAAGTATTTTGTGAGACGGTCTTCATAAAAAAGGCAGTGAAGACCGTTGCTTGATTGATCATTACTTCATATGGAGTCGCCCAAAATAAGACGAAGATCTCAAGAATTGGTGGTGCACAGAATAATAGTGTCTCTACTGGTTACGAAGACGGGCATTCTTGGTTAATTAGATTGCATTCAGCCCAGCTAGCTTCCGCAGTTTCTCGCATAGAATGAATGTAATTGTCGTTTGGGGACCCAATCTTGCAAACACAGTTAAGCCCCTGAAGTAAGAAAATAGCATCAAATGTTAATATCAAGCACTGCATTTTGTGCATACCAAAGCAAAGACTTGTTGAAAGTAACAAATTTAGAAAGGTTCAATAGGATTCTAACCCCTTGTAAAGTCCCCGAGGGCCTTCTGTACGCAAGATCTGAACCATGTGACAAGAGCTAATTAGATAAGGAAGCATGCTACTTCTTCAATTCCAAGATGCAAGACAATCGCAGTATCATTGGGGAAAGAACTCTGTGACGCTAAACAAAATCGTACTGAACTTTGAGATAGGTAAATCGAAAAAGCGACTAAGACCAACATTGAGAAACAATTTCCTCTCGCCCCTGTCAACTCGCATGGATAAAGAACTCCAGAATTCTAAAACAAATATCATTCTGGTAAAGATAGAACAGAATGAAGCAAACTATCGACCTTCACTGATGGAATGGCAAGATAGAGTCATCCATTTTAATGGACAACTATTAACTTCAGAATGAAGGTAACGACACCAAAAGCTTCTTATCGAGGGGAAGAATACGGAAATAAAAATAAAGCTGACACCTGATGTGCGCAGTGGAATGCATTTCTATAGCTACCAACTGCTTCTGATTCTCGTTGAAGCATAAGACGTGTTTTGATGGTGTCTATTGGGGCAGTAATAAGAGTACTCACTCCACCCGCAACTGTACTTGAGCTTCAAAATATATATAAAAATAGGTACAATTTTAGTATTGAATGAAGGAGAAGGAATATGTTCTAAGAAAGATATATTGATAGGAAAAAGAATCATATAAACTGTGATTTAAGTCATGAGAAGCTAAACCAAGTTACTTCTACATAACACAAGTACAAGAAGCACCAGGGTGTTAAGGCAATAATGATTTCAGTTCAAAGGCATGCTTCAGTCAATATATCATACATTAAGTGTAGATATATCCCTTCTTCCAGATTTGTCCTCCTAGTAAGACACTGCAGTTAAAAATGAAGAAGAAGAAGAAGAAGAAATCGCAATGTTCAATGCCACAAATATGAAGGCCACCCGATAAAAACGAAAAATGAACGAGGCAAGTCCTGTGAGAATAGCACGGGGATCCTCAAAGATGTTTAGAATGAAAAAGATGATGTTAAGGACTTTACCTGTTTGGTTTCATCATATGTGGCCAATTGTGACGCGGTTAAAGCAGAAGCTCTAGCCATGCCAGGTCCTACCCCCTTCCAAAGAGCTCTTGTTCCCTCTTCTGAAATAATTTTGCGGATCTCTGCTATCACACCTCCATTCCCTGGGTTGGCATTCATTTGCAATCGGACCTATCCAGCAAGAAGTTCATGAGTTCACGGAACATGTAAGCATGAAATCGGTGATAAACCTCGAATGATGCATACCTTCAAAACTTCAGTAGGATTAGTCAAAGCCGTTGCAAGTGCACCAGAAAAAGCTCCAGATGCAATCTTGACAAAGATGTTGGTGGATCCAAAAGCCAAACTACTTGCATACTTCGCCGGCTCATACAGACCCAGACGAAGACCTCCATAAAGAACCGACCTTGTCAAAGCTGGTGTAAGCCCCAGGTACAATCCCTTTGGTCCCTCATTTTTCAATATTTTGAGAAAAGTTTGTCCCTGCAATTGTGGAGTAAACGTTCAATCGTGATAAGTTTTAAAGAAACCAAATTTCATTAAAGGTATAGAAACGAGTTTGAACTTACCATTCCACTTAAAGGACCTGATTGTCCTACAAGTTCCATTTGCAGCCGCACTTTCAGCACATCTGTCAAACAAAATCCAATCAGAAAAGAAGGCCATTAAAAACTCAAGGCAAGGGCAAAGACATATTTTCTGCCATGTACATTTTACTCTTGCTTCAGAATTCTTGCAAACCAAACATCAAATTCTGACATTCATGGATTCTTACAATCCCACCTATAGAATACCCGAGTTGCTGGAAATTCATGTATTCTACATTCAGTTCTGGGCAAGCAAACGGTCCCTTTAATCATGCAACAATGAACACAAAGAAGAAGGATGTCATAGAGAAGAAGAAGCACAAATACGAGGCCAGAACAGGAAAAGAACCTAAGGGATGGGTGCAGGCCGTGGCGATGGCAACAGCTGCTCCGTTGCTGCCGAAATGGTTGACGCAAAGAGAAATCAAGGAATGGCCCTCCATTTTCTATTTCTCTATCCTTCTTAATCCCACAGAGAATCGCCTGGTGGAACCAACAGGAACGAAATAATCAAGCGACCGAATCTGTAAAAGCTAGGAGATAGAGAAGGAGGAATTTAGAGAAAGAAATTACTTCCGGGGGTAGAAGAGGGACCATAGACTGACAGAGAGAAAGGGGGTAGAGGGTAAAAAATACCATTAAGCGGATAAGAAGACCCAATCACAAATTGGCAATGCAGTGGTGGCCGGCGGAGAGAGCAGCTGCCGGCGGGGAGAACAACGGCGATGGACGAGACTCTTGACTAATCTCTTCTGCTTCAAACCATCTCTGCTTTATTTGAAAGAGAACTGCCAAGTCAAATTGGGCCTGGATTGGGCCGGGCTATCGTAAATCTAATGTAGCCCATGTTCTCCTCTCTCCAAATTGGTCAAACGAAGCCACGTGTCCGCCGATTCCGCGGAAGATGGAGTGAAGTTTTCTCGCGATTCCCATCAGCTATCTCTTCTTCGTCTTTTTCTTTTCTCTCGGCAGCCAAACAGAGAGATTACTGATTAGTCAACGGCCGAGAAAGACAAAGCAGTTCCTTTCTTCATTCATTCGATTCATCTTCAATGGAAGTCAACACCCTCTTCTTCCGCATCCTCATTTCGCTTCCGCTCTTCCCCGCCTTCGCATCTTCCGCCGCCGTTGTGAAATCCGGCTACTGGTTTTCCGGCAGCGATTTCCCAGTCGCCGACATCGATTCCGCCCTCTTCACCCACCTCTTCTGCGCATCCGCAGATCTCGATCCCCAAAACAGCCGCGTATCAATCCCCGCCTCAAATGCTCAAGCATTCTCCACCTTCTCGACCGTCGTCCGCCGCAGAAACCCCGCCGTCAAGACGATTCTCTCAATCGCCGGCGACAGCAACGATTTCGCAGCAATGGCATCTCGACCCAGTTCCCGAAAGAAATTCGTCGATTCATCAATCAGATTAGCTACTTCTCTCGGATTCGACGGCCTCGACCTCTCCTGGATCCACCCTTCAAGCCCTTCTCAGATGGCCGATTTCGCCCAATTGGTGACAGAGTGGCGGCGAGCTATCGCCTCATCGGAAAATGGAAATCCCTTGATTCTAACCGCTAGAGTGTTCCGCTCACCGGAACACGAATCGGGTCGGTACCCGGTTCAGGAAATGGCGGAAACCCTTGATTGGATCAATGTAATCACATACGACTTCTACTCCCCTGTTTCTTCTTCTCCAAAAACAGGGCCTCCGGCAGCATTATACAACCCTGGAAACCAAATCAGCGCCGACGCCGGAATCAGGTCCTGGATCGAATCCGGTTTCCCGGCGGAGAAAATTGTCATGGGAATCCCTCTCTACGGCTACGCCTGGAAGCTTTCCGACCCGAAAAGAAGAGACGGGTTTTTCTCCCCTGCTGCTGGTACAATACCCGAAATCTCTGATTCCTGCGATGGGTCGATTGCATTTCGGGAAATCAGGAAGTTCATAGTGCGGAATCGAGCTGCGAGCTCGTTCAACTCCACGATTGGAGCGGATTGTTCTTTCTCAGACGACGGGATCTGGATCGGGTATGATAACTACCTGACGATCGTGAAGAAGGTTGTGTTGGGATTTTTAGTGGTGTGAATGGAAATAAAAGGGGAAAGTTTCAAGAGAGTCTCTTGAAGTACCATGTTGGTAAGATGTGGGAAGGCATGGCCTCGAATTCGATCGATTTGATGTAATATGTGGTTAACTGGTTAAATTGGGTTGTGTAACCAAATGAACCAAACCGAGTTGAACCAATTCGAACCGAACCGATATGGCGGTTGGAATAACCAAACCGGTCCAACTTCCATGAGGCCGAACCAATGCAATGGTTGAAATATTTTAAACGAACCAATGCAATGGTTGGGGTGTAACCACTCATATGAAGAGTTGCCTCCCTTCAATGCATCCCTTCATTTTCTATAAATAGCACCATACCCCCTCTAGTTTTGACTACGAGTTTTACATGGATTTTTTCCCGGTACTGAAACTCTGCCAAACATCCAAAACTAGTTTTTCTGCAGTCTTTTAAAAGAGAAAATAGAGTCAAGTGTGGTTCTCGCCGTTTCGCTGCGTTCGATGGTTTCCGGGGTTTGAGGTACCGCTACGCCGGAAAAGGTACGTCCTTTCTATCCTGGGAGGAATAATTCCACAACCTTGGGTACTTGAGGGGAATAAGATTCTTTAAAGAGAGATAGTGAATTCTATCGGCTAGGACGCTTGCATGTGTCTTTGCATGTTTTTCTTAATCTTATGTGTTTGCTTGTGTTGCAAGAAAATAGTATACGTGAACAATTTCCACAACAATCTTAAAGAATCTTATTAGAAATTGTTAATTGTTCTCGGCATGGTTAGGTTAAGAATGATTGCAAGACGAATTGGGTTGTTGATCTTTTGATCTCGTTGTCCAGTTAATGGACATATAAATCATTGTATGGCTTAGGTATTGTTTACGTGCATTTACCATGCAATGGATTTGATTCTGGTTATAAGTGGAAAAACATGCATAAGATGATTTATACAGATGACCTATATATATGTTTTGGTTTCGTTACATGGAAAGTATTTGCATATTGGAAAAATTGCATGGCGAATTTTTTTTTTTTTATCAAGTTGATCTTTGGTTTCGGTGGTTAATTAGGAAGGGAAACTGTTGCTCCCTTTTATATTGGTTCATTTGCTATACATGTACATATATTAGTTGCGTATGTGATATATATGGTGTGTATATATATATGTTCTTCTTTTCTTCTGTTTCTGTCGTTGGAGGAAAGAAAGGAACTTGGTTCTGTTGGAAATTTGGTTCCGACAGTGAAACATACGTATATATGTTCGGATCCTGTACTGGAAAGTAAGGAAGAAAAGATGTACTTGTTGATGACTTGATGGTATAAGAAAGAAGCACTCGATGGATAGTAATAAACTATCTAGTGGGAAACTATGAACATTCATAGGTATGTAAAACCTATGGCGCGTGGCAAGTGGGGATTTGTGAATCATGTCTATCTGGGCCGGAATGGTTCCAAATTGATTGCAAAAGTTATGTTCAAAGTAAATTGAACATAGTACGAAAAGATACCTCCATTGTGTGGAGATGAAGTTTGGTTAATGCTTGTTTATCCACAAGCGACAAGGAATTCTAATTCCAACGATGTTGGTCAATACATGATAATTTGTTTATCATGCATGTGATTTATGACTTGATGATTCCTATGCCACGAGGGCAAGGAAAATGAAGTGATTGATCCTTATACGGATTTAATAAGCTTGCCAAAGGATGGTTGTCATCAAGATAAGCATTAGGTCAGAATTGCTTATGGTATAAGTACACTATACCATTGGAAAACAATTTGACTATGATTATCAACGTGGAGCTAATTGCCAGAATTGTTTATGGTATATATAGATGTATATCATTGGAAAACAATTTGGAATGAGAGCTCAATTGAGATGATCTGATTGAACTTAAAGACTGGATTATTTATGAAGTTTATACCATTGGAAAGTAATTAGACAATTGAATTAGAAATTCGTTTGAATTACTTGTGGTATATCATGTTACGTATATGAAATGTCATTGGAAAGTAATTAGATGGGATTTCCATTACTGGAATGCATCTGAATTATGTATGACGTCTCAAGTTGCCTTGATCAATACCATTGGTAAGTAATTGGATGATTTTTCTAATAAAATCTGAATTGTTTGTGTTATGCTAATCGAGTGAGATCATACCATTGGTAAACAATTAGATACACATAGTGGTTGGTAAGTTCAATAAGTAAAACCATGGAAAAAATAAATGGGATTATTCCATGATGTTTGGCAAAGAGTAGAATTGTGGGGGGAGAAGAGCCCATTGTTTCGGCTACTATCTCAAGACCCTACAATGGGACGCAAACCTATTCATAAGATAAAAGTGGAAAGGTAAGCGAAGTCATACTTGAAAGTATGAAGGTGTCCTTAAACCTTGTGGAGTTAACCCAGTCCAAGGGTATAACTTATGAGTAAACTCTAGCATATATTGACGTTATGTCAGAGGCTAGAATATTTATTGATGTTGATCCACTCTTCCCAAAGAGATGATTTTGACCATATACATGAATGTATAAGAACAACATTCCCCAACCCGGAAACGTTGGTTTCAACAACTATGGCGAAATAGTTGAAATGTGGGGGATAAATTGGGGAGAAGTGATGTGGAATGTCGCTTGGGTGATTCCAAAGTGAAGTGATGTGAATACTTAGGAGTTTAACGTAAACTCTAAGCTAAGTCATAAATGTCACTACATTTGAAGAGATACTTGTGAAGCTTAAGTACTCTAAGGTTAATGAAGTGGAGAGACTTCAATACCGTTGGCATGTGTTATGATTATTGCAAGACAATAAAATCAAGTCAAGCTCACAAGATGTGTAGTAAATTGGAAAGAGACGAGTCTTTGGTGTATTGTACCCAAAGGGAACTCACCGGATGAACCAAAAGGCAATCCATTAATGGATAGGCATTTATGGTTAACGAGGAGCAGTATCTTGGAAAACGTCCAAGTTAAACTCTAAGACCGGTGAAGTTGAGTAGTTTGGCCCGCAAAAACTGGCGTTAATAAACGCACTTGTGCACAAAATTGTTATTGCTAGGGCTAGAAGTGTTATGTGAAAAATCTCATCATTGATAATGGAAACATAACACTAAGGTCAATTTCTAGCGAAGTTATCTAAGTTGATCATGTAGATCAAGTGATAACAAATGTGGGGCCCACCTAGAAATTTGTTAAAGCATCGAAGGGAATGGACTCGTGCCTAGGACAAATCATCATGGCGGTAACTCTACCTAAGCAGGATTGGCAGACCCAACCTCTAGGTTCAAGGAGAAAACAAAGTTGTGAATGATGGTCCGACATTGTCAACTTATTCAAAGTCCATTCTCATGATGAGACAATGTCCAACTATAAGGGTAAACCTAAAGATGAAAGGTTTTTAATGGTTTCTAAGTTTGACACAGGATGTGATCAAATAGTGTATTTTCGGAATACATGTTTAGAAATCACCTATGTGAGTGTGAAGTGGAGCCGCTTCAAGGAGAATAAAAGAAGGCCAGTTCTCTAAGCACTCATGAGACCAGGTGGTGTTCATGGCTGAAACGAACACAACAATGAGAACCAGTGAACGGATAAGAGTTAGGTGTGTGACATATGTTGTCTTAGTATACAAGCAAAACCGACGGTTCAAAGATATCACATCTACCGATTGGTGAGTATACTCGATATATGTTCACTAAGGAAGGTTCAAAGGGAAACCTACCTATTCCGATGCAACTAATTCTTAGTCGAGAATCACACGATTTTTTGCATAGTTTTTAAAGTACAACATTCTCCATTCATGTGGGGGATTGTTGGGATTTTTAGTGGTGTGAATGGAAATAAAAGGGGAAAGTTTCAAGAGAGTCTCTTGAAGTACCATGTTGGTAAGATGTGGGAAGGCATGGCCTCGAATTCGATCGATTTGATGTAATATGTGGTTAACTGGTTAAATTGGGTTGTGTAACCAAATGAACCAAACCGAGTTGAACCAATTCGAACCGAACCGATATGGCGGTTGGAATAACCAAACCGGTCCAACTTCCATGAGGCCGAACCAATGCAATGGTTGAAATATTTTAAACGAACCAATGCAATGGTTGGGGTGTAACCACTCATATGAAGAGTTGCCTCCCTTCAATGCATCCCTTCATTTTCTATAAATAGCACCATACCCCCTCTAGTTTTGACTACGAGTTTTACATGGATTTTTTCCCGGTACTGAAACTCTGCCAAACATCCAAAACTAGTTTTTCTGCAGTCTTTTAAAAGAGAAAATAGAGTCAAGTGTGGTTCTCGCCGTTTCTCTGCGTTCGATGGTTTCCGGGGTTTGAGGTACCGCTACGCCGGAAAAGGTACGTCCTTTCTATCCTGGGAGGAATAATTCCACAACCTTGGGTACTTGAGGGGAATACGATTCTTTAAAGAGAGATAGTGAATTCTATCGGCTAGGACGCTTGCATGTGTCTTTGCATGTTTTTCTTAATCTTATGTGTTTGCTTGTGTTGCAAGAAAATAGTATACGTGAACAATTTCCACAACAGGTTGTTTATGGTCAGGAGAAAGGATTGCTTGGCTACTCTCTGTGGCATTTGGGGATGGATGAGAACTGGGGACTTTCCAGGACAGGTTGGTAGGAATTGTGGTTTTTTTTTTTTTTTTAGTTCAGGGTTTTGGATTCATCGTTTTGGGGTTTTGAAATTTTGTTGACGGGTGTTTTGCAGCCATGGAAGCTTGGGGAGGGGATTCGGAAGATGATGATATGAAGTCGATGAAAGCTTCTGTTAAGTTCGCGTTGTCGGTTTCTTGGCGGGCGGGAAGCCTGATTTTCCCTGAGAACCATATGAACAGTGATGGTCAGGAAAATGGCAAAGAGTTGTAGCTAATGAGGTTGGTAACATCTAACAAGGGGATTATGAAGCTCACCTCTTTTTCCTCCTCATGTTTTGACGATTTTTATTGTGGTTTTGTTATGGACGATTTGCATTATCCGATTTGATCGTATATTTTGATAAAAGATGATGTTATCACAGGAATTATTTTCATTTCAATGCAATTCCATGATCAAGTAGTTGGATTTCGACGTCGAACCCATCTCATCCTACTGACCCGAGTTGGTTGGATGACTCATCATCCTAGATTTTGTGTCGATAATTTATACGAAAATGCGTTTAGTTTCACAGCGCATTACAAAATATCTTCTTATTGATTAAGCCAGCAATAGAAAATGGTACAATAATTAAACATTTAACAACGACCTCAAATAGGAGATTCGGATAAGATAACGATAAACACGAAATACATGTATGCAAATGTGATCATATAAACACTATTCGAGCTGCATCGTATCTCATCAGAATTTAAGCTCCTCCCCATGTCTGCAAGGCTGTGGCCAAAGACAAAGATGAAGACATGTATATAGTTATATCATGGTTTATTGGCATTTTCGGGTTTATGTAGTTTAGCAAAATACATCACTAAAACCATAATTGTTAATGTATACAGTTTCGGTGTTATCTCGTTAATCAGTTTCACATATATTGTGCTAAATAATTTGTTTGCATTTATAGTGAATCTGACCTCAATTTTTAGTAAGCACGTTTCATATTGTGCTCAAATAATTTGTTTGCATTTATAGTGAATCTGACCTCAATCTTAGTAAGCACGTGTTTCTTATGACTCGCATGTCATCTAGTCTAGACACCTCACTTTCGATCCCTCACTCAGTCACTCTGCCTCCACTAACCCATGTCCTATACCATCTCGAACGACATATATTAAACCATCAAAACAAAGTGAAACAAAAAAAAAAATTCAAGACTCTAATTGACAAGTCAAATATAAATATTCAACATACATGACATGTGAATCGTCCAAAATATACTTCCTAATCAAGCTTTTTTCAACTCCAACTCTCAGTCTCTAACTAACTTTGAGCAATATCTTAAATCAATGAAACTAACTTGAGACCAATTTGTTTCCGACAGAAAAGAAAACCCATGAGAAAGAACAAAACCCTAACTCAAGACTCCAATTGACGGGTGCAATATAAATGTTCAATATACGTGACATTTGAATCGTCCAAAATATACTTACTAATCATGATTTTTCAACCCCAACTCTCAGTCTTTAACTAACTTGAGCGACATTTTAAATCAATAAAACTAAATTAAGACCAATTTGTTTCTGACACGAAGGAAAACCCGTGAGAAAGAACAAAACCAGCTTAAAACGAACCTGTAGTTGAGAGGCTCCAATCATCATCAGCACCAACATGCCAAGCAAAATAACCACCCAACCCTTTCGTCTTCGCATACAGAACTTTTCCAAATATGCTACCAAGACCATCATAGCCAATCCACGTGGTGCCATTGTAGCAGTACTGCGAAACGACAGTCGCATTGAACACGTTATTCGTACCGTTTTGCTGTGCAATGAACTGATTGATCTGGTTATAGGTCATTGCTCCACCCCACGGTTGGTTCGTCCCGTTAGCCGGTACGTAGAGGCCGGTCTGGTTCGAGTCGACGAGACTCCAGGCGTAGCCGTAGAAGGGAAGGCCAAGGACCACTTTCTCTGCGGGCAAACCCTGTTGAATCCAAGTTGTGATCCCAATGTCTACGTTGATGGGTTGGTCCGGGTTGTGCAGGGCAGCGGGTGGTCCGGTTATGTTCGGCGACCACCCCGGGGCGTAGAAATCGTAGGCCATCACGTTGATCCAGTCCAAACTGTTTGATATGCTCTACAAAATGCATAAAAAGCGATTGCATTTGTATTTAGAAGTGTGCATTGTTCGATTCAGTCCCGATCAAATTGAAATGACATAGATTTGTGTTGAGGATAAAGAAAAATGAGGAACGAAATTGGATGAAAATTAAATAGTGCATTGACTTTGATATGGTATGCTTTCAATGGAGTCCGTTCATTATTTTCTTGTTTTTTAAGAGGTTTTATGAAATCGATGGTCAAAATAAAATATTAAATCTGAGAACGCACGACCTTGTTTAATCTAAAATTTAATTAAGTCCGATTCGACTTAGTATATATTGAATGGATGAACACCTACTTATGAGAAGTTAGAACTTAGAAGGAGTGTTTGCTAAGTTGTACCCGTGTAACATACCAATAGTTTGATAAAAAAAAAAAACAATTGGCTATCTAAATCAAATCGACGTCCAATGGATAAAAACTCTTATCTATCCAAACGTGAAATCGTTTTAAAATCCTACATAAAGAAAGATTATTTTAAAATTTCTCACAAATCCTTCACTACTTTCCCTAATCCAAATGACCCCTTAGTACAATTTGTTAATGGTAAATGTTCGAATGAGCAAAAAGAAATAACCTGAGTCGGGTAAGCAACCAACGGCGACGAGTAAAACGGCGAGTAGTAAACCGCCGCCGAGAGAATCAACGGCGGCTTCCCGGACCTAACAGCCTCAACATTCACAGCAACTCTCCACTCATCCACCAACGTCCCAAAATCCGCCATCTCTTTCCCCGATCTAGGAAACTCCCAGTCCAAATCAAGCCCATCGAAGCCGTAACTCCGGGCCAGGCCCATGGACGAATTGAAGAACACCTGGCGGGCCGTCGGGTTTCCCGCCATGTAAGCCAGAGCAGAGGAATTGGCCCCTGCCCCGCCGATCGACAGAAGGGTCTTCACCAAAGGGTTCCTTTTCGCCACCGTCGGAGTAAAGTTCCAAAATTGAGGCTGGTTCTCAGGAGAAATGGTGACTCCATAGGTGGAAGGATCTAGGTCGGCGAACGCGCAGAATAGGTGTGTGAAAAGGGTCGACTCTATGGCGGAGATCGGGAACCCGCCGCCGGGGAACCAGTAGCCGCCTCTGACGTTGGCGGCGGCCGAGAAGGGGAGATGGAGAGGGAGGAAGATGGTTATTAGAAGAAGAAGAAGAGAAGATTGGTGAGCCATATGGTGAGGTTTCGAATTCAGCTGAATGCAGAATTGATACTTCGAATGATGTCTCGAGTAGTACTAAAGTATGACGCAAATTGTGATCGAGGATTGTGAGAGGTTTCGTGGGAAGAGATGAGAATATATTGTGGAATTTTGCGGGTTGAACAATGTAAAGCTGGAAAGATTGGCATGGTTTGAAAATTGTGGATCAAATTTTATGTATGTTCCAATGTTGCTCTGTTTTTGGTTTGGGGTGATTTGGAGCATGGTAAAAGGTTTGCTACTACACACGGCTAGTCCATCGTATTTATCGACCTTAGGTTTAAGTTCTTTGTTTCGATTCATATTTTTAATTGTGTGGCGGTTGTGGGGATTGCCGGATTGGGAAAACGTTGGATTACTAAAGCCAAGATGTATGGCTCGAGGGATGCTTTCTAATTCTAGGGCCGGATTGTGTTCGAACCTTGATGCTTCAAGAAAATGCATGAACAAATCGACAATGACTTGAGAATTGAGATCCAATTGGAGTATATAGTACATTCTAGTAGTATTAGCAATTATCGTTAGCCATAGGCTAAACTATGTCAATTTATAGTAGTCACTTCAGCGGTGAGTGGAAATGTAATTGAACAACCACCCAAATGGGACTAGATACTATAACAACACTCCTTTTGTTGTTATTGTAACAACACTAGTCTCCAACCAATAGGAAGCTAGTATTGTGATGACTTTTTATTAGATGAGTTGACCTAGTGTAAAATCAAAGCAGGGGTATAATTGTCATTATGAAAATATATTTAAATAATAATAAAAATTAAAAAAAATAAAAAAATAAAAAAAATAAAAAAAATAAAAAAAAATTTAAATTTTTTTATTTATTTTCGGACCAAAATTTTGGTCGCCGAAATCTGGTCGTCGGTCACCGGAATATACTTTTTTGTCGCCGGAATATGCTATTTTGTCATCGGAATATGCCACCGTCGCCGGAATATGCTCACCGTGGTCGGAATATGCTTACCGGCGACGGAATCTAGTCATCGGGGCCGGAATATGCCTATCGGCGCCGGAATCTACTCACTGACGGTCATCGGAGTTTGGTCAACGGCCAACGACCATCGGATGTTATGGTCTGCATTGTGAGATTTATGGTTTGGTTTCTTATATTTTTGTATGTCTTTTGTGGTTTGCTTTATCGTGTTTGTGGTTTGCATTAAGAAGTTTATGGTTTGCTTTATCGTGTTTGTGGTTTGCATTGAGAAGTTTCTGGTTTGCTTTCAAAAAATTTGTGGTTTGAATTGAGGGGTTTCTGGTTTGTTTTAATATATTTGTGGTCTGCATTAGGACATTTATGGTTTGCTTTTTTGTGGTTTGATTTATTGTGTTTGTGGTTTGCATTAGGAGGTTTCTGGTTTGTTTTCGAAAATTTTGTGGTTTGCATTGTGAGGTTTCTGGTTTGTTTTAGGAGATTTGTGGTGTGCATTCGGAGGTTTCTGGTTTGCATTAAGAAGTTTCTGGTGTGCTTTCGAAACTTTTGTGGTTTGGTTTGCGAGGTTTCTGGTTTGTTTTAATATATTTGTGGTCTGCATTAGGACGTTTTTGGTGTGCTTTACCGTGTTTGTGGTTTGCATTAGGGGGTTTCTGGTGTGCTTTTCAAAATATTTATGGTTTGCTTTGTGGGGGTTCTGATATGTTTTTAGCGAATTTGTGATTTGCATTAGAAGGTTTACGGTATGTTTTTTGTGGGTTGTTTTATTGCGTTTGTGGTTTGCACTGAGAAGTTTTTTGTGTTAAAAATATTTGTGATTAGAATTACTAAACACCAATATAAACAATACAAATCATTGTATGAAATTGGTTTATCCACCCACTGCCACTAGACAATAATAGATTCTTAATTCACCTTCCCTTCTCATTCCTTACACTTCCTTCTTCTCACACCAGCAGAGTAACAATGGCTCCTACACCAAATTCACGAGATCCAAAAACGAAACTCAGAGCCCAAAACCTCCGACCTGCTAGTAATCGACCTTCACCTCAATGATCGACCCGATTTCGCCAAACCACATCTCCAAAATCCAACTCTGCCGCAACTCCTCCATCTCCGTCTTCTTCACCCGCCACCAACACAAGTTCTCGGCTGACTTTGCATGTTTGCGGAGTGGTGGGACGGCGAGATATTCATTGATGGCAGGCCGGAATCCCAGCTAATTCCCCCAATTGCTAAGCTGACAACAGGGGGAGGCGGCACCGAGGTCATCATCGGGAAGACACCGCATTTTTTGGTCCACCTGCAGTCCTGCATCAATAATCAGAAAGGACTACTGAGAACCCAATTTCACCCTCCCAATCCTGAACAGAAACCCTAATTCCCATATCTGAAATCTCCATCGAATTCGCCCAACCAAAAAAAGGGATAGCCAAGCAAGCAGGACATACACCAGTGGAGTCGAATAAGATTCGGGTCGGTAAACGGAACGAAGAGGTCCAGAGGATTACTTACTTCGACTTGTGCGGCGGCGGCTTGAACTTTCTTTTCTTCTGCTCCGGTTCCATTCTCGCCGGTTCTCGTACCAGTTTAATTTTACATCTGTCTTTCGTCTCAACTCTCATCGTCAAACGGCAGTTCCGAGTAGCACGTCCAAGGAAAGGCTACTACTACTCATCATCCTCTGCTTCCAATTGAGATCAGCCATTTTGGAAGAGGGCGGGATCGGAATCGGACGAACCAGCTGCTTATTGGGTTTTAAATTTGGTGTGCTCGTCGGCGATCCAAGCGTTAGCCTCTCGAACGACCCGTCGCCGGTGATTGGTATCGCGACCGGGAAATTGGGGACCGGAGGAAGCTTCCCGAGTTAGTTGCTGGTCTTGATCGGAACAGCCGCCGCTTCTTGATTTCAATGGATTAAATAGATTTTATTTTTATTTTTTATGTTAAATTACCCTATTACCCTTAATGAATCATGTTGTTACAGTAACAACAAAGGAGCTGTTGTTATAGTATCCGCTGCCCACCCAAATCAAATACCAATTTTAGTTTCCTCAATTTTGTCTTCACTCTTTCGCTTCTTTTCCTTTATTAAAAAAAGTTATTCTAATTATTTATCGTTCCGTACATGTGTCGGAGATATGAATTATTTGGATAGTATAGTACATTTTCTTATGATTGAATGTTTTTCATTCATATAGAGAAAAGGTTGTCACTTTTAGTGATTTCATGATTTATTAGGTCTGTTTTGTGTTATAATTAAATATCTATTTGTTGAATTCTAGTTATATATGCAGGGCGAAAAATTAACCGCTGATACCTAAAAACCACGTGCATGGGGATGAGATTGCTAAACCTCCATGCATGAGCATGGAGTGGAAATGCATTTGGATATTTGGAAATTGGAAAGAGATAGTTTAGGAAAATCGACTCCAACCTCGCCCCATGCCATCCTATGAGATAAAATTGGACTAAGGGGTCGTTTGTTTAATGAAATTTGGGACTCAAATCCCAAGCATGATGGATTTTAGCCAAGTTCATTGTTTGTTGTCAGGTTTTAAATCCGTGGGGTCCACGAATTTGTTCCCTTTTTGGATCCAAATCCGTGGACCCCACAGACTTGTAAATCTCACATATTGGGGTGGGATTTGTAAATCCTTGATGACTAGTTATATTTATAGCAAATCCATCATAATTATATCATCAAATCTATCATGCAAACAATAAACTCTTCAAATCCATGATGGTACATATCCCTCATAAATCCAAAGGTTTTTTTGATTCAAAAGCCTCATTTTTCAAATCCAACAAGCAAACGACCCCTAAAATGATCGGTGTCATTTATCCGAACTAAATTGAACATAAATGATCGGACCAACCCACATGCTCGACCGAACCAACGAGCTAAACCGGGCTGACAACCTTGTGTCTATCTTGGTGGTGGGAATTGAGCCCACAGCAGAACTCAGTGGGCCCAGACCTCCATGTCCTGCAACACGACGGCCCACTCCGTGCTCGTGGTCCTAAAATTGAGCCTGTCAGAGATCCAGCAAAGCCTAGGGCCTACTAATTCAGGAAAACGATAATCACTTAATCAGGGAAAAAGAAGCATGAGGCCCGCACTACCAAGCTCGAATCTCAACCGTCCAAACACAACACAACAAAACAAAGACAAAATAATTAATTAAAAAAAAGAATAATACAGTACAAAGCCTACAATTAGCAAGAAAACAGAGGAGACCCGACAGAAATGTACAACAATTGGGAGGGAGCCCCAATTCCATTCTTAATTTTTAATCTCCCTCCTTTACAGGGCTGAAATTCCTACACTCCACCAGCGATTTCTGGTCGCCGCCCTGGCAGAAGAACAGCGCCGCCGGGCAGCGGTAGAGGCAGTTATCGTGCAGGCTCACGTTCGACGAACCGGGTCGGAGCCCCATCAGCGGACCCGGGATGGGTCCGAACAGGTAATTCCCACCCAGCAGCAGCCTCGCGAAGGGCGAAACTCCGGCGCCGGGAAGAACAGCCTTCACGGCGTACTGGGTCGGTATCATTCCTGTGAATCTGTTGTTTTCCAGTGATAAAGCCGAGAGCTTTGGCATCAGCGCCATGAACGACGGCAGGAATCCGCGGAGGTCGTTGTTGCTGAGATCGACGGCGATAAGCTCGCTCTGCAGAAGGGTTGCGAGGGTGGGCGGGGATTCGATGGAGGAGAAGGAGTTGTGGGACAGAGTGACCTGCTGGAGGGAAGGGCTGTTGAAGAGGATTAGAGGGACAGAGTCGGTGAGTCGATTGTGGCTCAGATCCAGGACTTGGAGGTAAGTTAGGGTTTGGAAGCTCTGGGGGAGCAATTTCCCTTCAATCGAGTTGTTCCTCATTGAGATTTGGACCAAATTGGGAGGCAAAATTGCGGGGAAATTCCCGATTATCCCGACGTTGTCGCTGGCATCGAGAAAGTAGAGGGTTTTGAGGGAACCCAGCTCGGGGAACTCACCGGAGAGATTGTTGGATTGGAGTTCGAGCCTTTTTAATCCTACGAGGGCGTTGAATTCGGGAGGGATTCCTCCCTGGAGATTGTTGTGGTCGAGGTAGAGCTCTTCGAGGCTGGTCAGGGAGGCGATTGAGGAAGCGGGTATCTCGCCGGAGAAGAAATTACCCGAGAGGCCGAGCCGGGTCAGGCGAGTGAGGTTGGAGAGCGAGCTGCTGGGTAACGGGCCATGGAAGTAATTGTTGGAGAGGTCGAGGGTTTGGAGGTAAGGCAAGCTGTTCCACGAGACCGAGTCGAGGGAAGCGGAGGAGTAACCCGCCTGGTCGAGGGCGAGCTCGGTGACCCGGCTGTCGCCGGCGACATCAGCGATGTCGCAGCGGAAGCCGCAGGTGAAGCGGTCGCTGAAGAGGGAGTCGCAAGGGTCGGAGGAGAAATCCCAGGAGCTTAAGCAGGAGCCTGGAGGGACAGAGCTTGGGTCAATACTGGCTTTCACCTGCTTCAAAACCACTGTATCTCCCCAGTGTGTCTTTCCATTGATGACAGTGAGAAACAGGGGAGAGACAGAGAGAAGCAGAAGGAGTCGAAACAGAGGAGCTGTGGGGAATTGGAAGATGCCCATTTGGAGATTTTTGAGAGGATAGTTTGAAAGTTGGAGCCTTTTTTTTCCTCCTTCAGAGCTGAGCTAACTGAAGTCTTAAAGCAGGAAGGAGATAGAGGGTAGAGGGGGAGGGGGAGGGTGAAGGTGAAGGAATCAGGGCCGTTGAAATTGGGAAATCATGATGATGATGAAGATGATGATAACGATGATGGAGGTCTGTAAAAAGCATTGGGCGAGTCTGTGACTTCGATTGGAAGAGACTAAAGATTTGAGTGAAATGGGGAATGGTATTTATGCTGATGGAGCAGGGCTTCACGGGCACTTGTGTCAGAGAAAACAGAGTGAGTGGGGACTTTCTTTCTTTTTTAACTCGTCTCTTTTCAATGCTTCGCTGTATTTGATTGAAGTTGGCCCCTTCTTTCTATCTATTTATTGCAAGAAGGAAGCCCACGAGAGCTCCATCAGCGTCGAGGTTCAGCCTGCAAGTCGCCCACCAAAACAGAGGCAAACAGGGTAGGTTATGAGATGGAATGGAGATTGTTAGAACCTAGAGCATATTGGTATAATCGATAATGTAAAAAAAGTAAATAACATAGATGTATGTGGGTTATGAATATAATGTGTTAATAGATTTATGTGATTTATTAATGGGTTATAGGTATAATATGCCTATGACTTTTTTTCAAACATGACTATTTACTATTTTTTACATCAAATATGTCTCTGTACTTTGGAAAAATTACCAAATATGTCATTTTGTTAAATTTTTCATCCAAAAACCGTTAACCAAGACCGAACTTTGGTTTCGGCGACCCAAATGTCTAAAATATCTCTTTTTTTTTTTTTTTTTTGACAAAAGATAATCCATTAGATTAAGAGAGAAAGTTACATCCTGGAAGACAGCCAGGCCTGAAAATCAAAGAAACGGCAAGTGGCCGGGTACAAAGACAGGGCTTTCCTAGCCACCAAATAAATGTCTAAAATATCTCTAATAATTTCACTTTAGAGTTTTTTTTGGTCTTTTGTATAGCCAAATAATTCTAATGATTTCACTTTGACAAGACCTAGAGAAATAAAACAAGGGTCAAAACTAACATTTCCCCTCTCATTTGTCAAAGTCAGGTTGTCTAAATCTCGGTTCAAGCATGATTGACGGTTTTTTTCAATGGAAATTTCAACTGAAGGGCATGTTTGATAGTTTTTCCAAATTATAGGAGCATGTTTGATGTAAAAAATAGTAGAGGGGCATGTTTGATAAAATGTCATAATAGAGGGGGGCATATTATACCTATAACCCTTTATTAATATATTGTGCATTAACTGGTAAACGAGTAAGAGAGAGTCAGTTTCATTATTCTTGATAATATACATATTTCAGAAGGGGTTGAGAAGTGTAAATACTAAATAGTACTTCAACAGACAAGCTAACACTAATCCAATATGATAAATAATAAGGTTACATATCAAACCCAATAACTTTCACTCTTTCAATCAATGACACATAATATAATTCAAATCATATTAACATAAATGGCGAAAGGTTATAGAGAGTGGGTGTTCTAATGACAAAACCAGCGAAAGGGGGTTTTGTTTGGATTGAATTTAATTGCTAAGAGGTGATTTCGAATTTGCGGTTGTTAAATAGATGTACAGTGGTGAATACATGTATTGATCAATTTGATTGATAGAGTGGTAGTTTATGTTACCTCACACGGACAATTCATGTTTTGTGTATGAGAAAATATTATAAACAATGACTCTTTGATTTTGTCATGGTATGAACATTCTCTCATGAATCTCATCACCGATCTCTAGTAAATGGTGTGTGCTCCAGCGCTTTTCCACAGTTGTAAATCACATTACGAATGTTCTAAATGGAGGTGTGTTACAAGTTATAACATTAAGAAAACAACGATACTCATCACCAACATAATGTGCTTTAAACTTCTCCATACTGTTAAGACCGATTATCGACTCAGACTTTTCTCTAACTATAAGATCAATCATCAATGTAAGAGATGTTAATGGTAAGAGTTCTTAGATTAAGGTTTCTTTTAAGTGAAAACAAATACATCCTTTGTTTCCTCTATTTTACCCCCTTCCCCTTGCATGGTGAGGAATTGAGAATCTAAGTATTTCTACTTATTTAGTAAATATCATATGACAAACATGCCTTCACATTATTGTATTTAGCATTATTACTTCATCGATCCCTTTGCTCCAACACTTGAACCGCCATTTCCTCAAGCTCCCCATGCCTGGGATGCTGCCATAGCCAAAGAAAACACAATTCCCTCATTAGCATGATAGACGAAGATTCTCACACTTTCAATAAACCAAATCAAAATCCGAGTCAAAATCAACACCAGATCTTATCGACATTTCCTCCTAAAATCGTATTAAAAAGAATACAACAAAAACTAACAATAAACGAATCGCGATAACATTATATAGATTCGAGCAAACAAAGTGAAAAGTTTTCATACCTCTGGTAGAGAGAGCCCAATTGTCATCAGCACCAACATGCCAAGCGAAGTAGCCAAGCAAGCCCTTCCTTTTGGCATAAGCAACCTTCGTCGAAACGCTCTGTACGTCGTCGTATCCAATCCAAGTCGTCCCGCTGTAACAGTAATCCGAAACGACCGTGGAATTGAACACCTTGGTCGCCCTGTTCTGCGCAATAAACGAATTAATCTGATTATACCCTGCCGACCCTTCTCCGGCCAACGCCTTCCCATTCGCCGGCGAGAAAAGTCCGTTCTTCCCGGCGTCGGCGAGCCGCCATGACCACCCGTAGAACGGCATTCCGAGGACAATTTTCTTGGCGGGAAGTCCGGATTGGGTCCAGGAGTTGACCCCGTTGTCGCCGCTCTCCCGGCGGCCGGGGTTGTACAGGGCCGCCGGCGGTCCGGTGGTCGTCGGCGACCAGCCGGGGCCGTAGAAGTCGTAGGCCATCAGGTTGATCCAGTCGAGGGAGTTGGATATGGTTCTGACGGGGTACGGGACGGCGGTGGAATAGTAGTAGGGTAAGTAGAGGACGGCGGCGGTGAGAAACAGAGTCTGCTTGCCGGAGCTCCTAGCCTCCGCCGCCACGGCTGCGCGCCATTCGGTGAGGAGGGCGCCGAAATTGGCCATCTGGGTTGTGTCCGATGGGTACTCCCAATCGAGGTCCAGGCCGTGGAAATTGTATTGTCTTGCTGTAAAAAATGTAACATGAGATTGGTGTTGTAGTCGGTACTTAATTTGCTTATGGGTCTGTCTAGACGTTGGAAACAAATTAATTATTTATCTCAAATGATTAATAAAATAGCATTCAACAACACTTTTACATTTTAGTTCAAATGGCTCACAAGTTCACTGTGCATAGAATTCTAGACTAATGACTCATAAAGTTATTAACGATTAAAAATATTGAGACAAAATTGAGATTTCATATAATGTTAAGTTCACTTTTGATACTAACTGTCTAGCTCCGTTCAACTATGCATAGGCGACACCTAGATATTACCTCACTTTATCCTGACGTTCAAAATTTCTAACTTATTATCGAATTCTAGATGAGGCGTTTTGCTATTGCTTAGTGTCTACATAGGCCTTTTTGAACCATGAAAAACGTAACATCTTGTTACTTCAAATCATATAAATTCATAACGTGAACGAATGAATATGAGAAAATTTGTATCTCTTCTCTAACTTGATACTCACCAAGGCTTATGGAGGAATCGATGAACGCCTTCCTTCTGCCCGGCTGGCTAGCCATGGCAGCCAGAGTCGCGAGATTGGCGCTGCCGCCGGCAATTGACAAAAGGGTTTTCACCGAGGGGTTCTGCTTCTGAACCGTCTGGGTAAAGCTCGAAAATTGAGGCTGATTCGCGGAGGAGACGGTGACCCTGTAGCCCCCCTGGTCAACTGCGGCGAACGCACAGAAGAGGTGAGTGAAAAGCCTGGAGTTGATGGCAGAGGCGGCGAACCCACTTTCCGGGAACCAGTAACCGCCTCTAACAACGGATGGAGCTTGCGCTGCAGCAGGGCGGAGGAGGAGAACCAGCAGGACGGTGGAGATGAACATGGTAATAAGCTTGGAAGGCGCCATTTTTGAAAGAAGACGAAAACAGGGGAGGTTTTTGAGATGGTTTTTTTTTTTGGGATGAAGAAAACAGAGGAGCTATATATAGCGAGAAAAGTTGGATGGATGGGCACGGCAAAAAGGCAATTGTTTTCGGACCTTTTCAAACTCGGTGGGATAGATAATGGCGATGAAGTAAGCAACAGCAGAAGAAAGAAGAAGTTTTTGAAAGGATTTTCAATGGTTAATCCACTCTGCCATTGACTACCGAAGGAAAACAGAGGATTCTGAATTGCTCTTCGTTTGAAAAACCGAGAAATTCAAACTCCCCTTATAGCCGCATTTCGATCTTTGATTTTCTTTGCTTAGCTTAAAGCAGCAAAGTTTTGGGGAATCACTCAATGCTTTTGGATTGAAGGTCAATGAACTCATGGTCCATGGTGGAGGTATTCTTAATTGCTTAGGCGTTTACTTAGCCGAATTTCTTCGGTAAGAAATTGAATGGCTTGTCTTTCGGATTTAATGAGACTGGTCAATGGTTTAGACTTGTAGTATATGGATGGAGTTCTTGGATCTTTTGGGTGTTTGATCGTCGACATGGTAACTGGTTTTACTCGGGTAGGTGGGCAGGAAGACGCCATTGAAGACTAAAAAACAGAGGAAAACAGGGGATGCTTTGAGGCGAGAGAGTTGGGTGGATGTAGGGAAACCGCAAAAAAAAATTGCTGACATTTTCAAGCTGCGCGGTGGGGATAAAACGATGATGGCGATGATGTAAGCAGACAGAGGGAGGGTGTGAATAAATTTGGAGCTTCTTCTCGAAAGGGTTGTCTAAGTGAAAGGTTGGAAATAGTGATGTCAATGGGTGGTGGTATCTAAATATCCATACTCAGTATCGTATCAAATACATGTTAAGTTGGGTATTACTTGTGTGAGTATGGGTTGGATCAGGTCGATCCATTCTTAATTTTTTTATGTAATTTTTCTATATAATTTGAAGAAAATTTTCATTTTTATCTATAAAAACAAATGGAAAATAGCTCATGAGTGAAAAGAATAGATAATAGGTAGAGTAATTGAGTGAAATGAGTTGAAAGATAAAGTCTTGTACTTATCTAAAGTATCTTTTGGGAGAAATTTGGATATAAGATAAGTACAAATAAGAGAAATACAATTAAATATTATGACAAATGAGGGTAGAACGGGTTAAGAAACGTAGAGGGCGCGCGTACCTCAATAGTCCATACCCATACCCGTTCGCACCAAGAGCAATCGGGGTGGGTATAGGGCGGGGCGGGCTCGTCCCGCTCCTACATTTATTAAAAAAAATGCACTTAAAAGGTTACTTTTACGATAAAACGAAAGGATAACACTTTATAAATGAAAAGAGTGATCATAGAATGGGTAATTGAGTTTAAGTAGTTGAAAGATCAAGTCTAACTAGTTGAAGGAGAAATATGAATAAATAATATAAGAAATTGAGGTAGAATGGTCAAGTAGATATCCATACCTCGTCCCACGCTACAGCGAATCAAGGAGTAGCAGTTCCATCACGAGTCAGGTCGGATAATATGTTGTGGGACGGACTCAAATTGTCATCCCTACTCACAGTCCAGGCACTTCGTTCCCCCTCTCGAATAAGTGCCTACTAGGGCGAGGTTGTCACACTCTCCTAACCCAACCACATACGCAGAAAATATGCTTCTTAGTGAGCCAGGAAATGGATGGTCCCTATGACGAGCAAGGTAACTAGTGGTTGAACAATGAGTTTGTTTACACCAGCCCAAGTTTACGCCACAAAATGTTTTTATAGACAGAGAATTGGTGGTGGGATTAAGAACAAACCACTCTCTAGGGTACAATTTTCATGATCATGATCTAGCATCTAGCTCTGATACAGTGAGTTGATTTGTCGAGGAATTAGCAGGGGACACAGGTAATTGCATGTTAATTACAACATCACTGAAGAATCTTACGTCTGTGATCCCAATGTTCTTATCAGCTGCATTATTGCTGCTGTCACTCCGGTAGAGGTCTCTGAGCATTGACGAAACCTTCTGCATACTCGGCCTGTCCGTTGGTTTCCTCTGTATGCAGAACAAAGCTATTCTCAAGCAGTCTGCCAGCTTACAAGTCGAATTCGAGTCGTCCAATGAAGGGTCCATGATCTCCATCCCTCTACCTTCTTTCCACAGCTCATACGCCTGCCACCCATCAATCAACAACAAGAAGCAAATGAAAGGTTTACAATCCTCTCCAACATTTTAAAGTGACACTCATTTAGTTACAGAGTAGTAGTGTGATTTGGATCTTACATAGACATGAAACTCCATATCTCCATCGGGACCGTACCGGGAACCACATCTCTTGCCGCTTATGATCTGCAGAAGGAGGATCCCAAAGCTGTAAACGTCGGATTTCTTGGAGTACACGCCATCCTGCAGATACTCTCGTGGGCAGTAGGCTCTGTAGAAACAGTAGGATTGAGTGAATTGTAGTAGTAAATTAGCTTCATCGTTAAATCTTGATTAGAGCTTACATCACCTTGTGCCAGCAATTCGTTCAGTGTTAGCTTCTGATGAATCCGTCTTCAAAATTCTGGCCAATCCAAAATCAGATATCTTGGGCTTCATGTTGGAATCCAATAAAATGTTGCCTGGTTTCAGATCTCGATGAATAATCGACTGCCCAGAATACTCTTGGAGGTATAAAAGGCCTTGAGTAACTCCTTCGATGATTTCCACTCTTCTTGCCCAATCCATCATCAAGCTCCTCATCGGATCTAGTATATTAAGATGTAACTTAATCATCAATAACAGTTAGAATATTATTCGTATTGCGTATTGTGATGAAGATAATGATAATACTGACCGAAAAGGTAATGATCCAAACTTTTGTGATGCAAATACTCATATACCAACATCCTCTCTCCTCCTTCGATACAATATCCCAAAACCCTGACTAGGTTAACGTGCTGCAGTTGCGCAGTGAGCATCACCTCATTTTTGAACTCCTCGTCTCCTTGGCTCGAGTTTATTGACAACTTCTTCACTGCTATCTCCCCTCCATCGGCCAACACACCCTGCACATGTAGGTGTTAACAATGGAAATGGCCACGCAAAATCCAATTTTCGTTCTATTAGAGGAATGTTATAAGACATACTTTTACATATTGTCTTTCGGTAACTCAAGTTATCAACACAGACTAATAATTCACCCTATGATATGATTGTATTAGAACTCTGACATTTCGTGTGCACGCATGATTCACAACGAGGTGTGATGACACTTTGAAAAAAATGCTATTTTTCATACTATATTCTTAGTAAAATATCCATCTACACTTGATCCATTTTTACATTTCACTGTGAAATTGATAACTATCTGTCTGCTCGTATGTGGGTTTTTGTACTTTGGATGTTATTTTTGGATTTTTTTTTCATGATTTTCATTTACAAACACACTTAGGAATTAGGATGAATGTTGGAGTGGACTTGGACATGAAGGAAGCAAAACCAGAAGGCTTGAGGCGGAAAGAGGGGTATGTTATAATTTAATTTAATTGATTTTGAGCTGATATTAGACGCTAGTCAAATTCCTTATGTGGGTACCTTGTAAACAGGACCGTATCCACCTTGTCCAACCTTGTTTTCAATGGAGAAATCGTTGGTTGCTTTCTCAAGTTGTGCAGAGCTATATGGAACCGCAACCATTCTAGGGTTCTTGTCCTCTGTTTCTCCTGCAAAAAGTGATACAGCATCACTTCCTCCCTTTCCTGCAAAGTACCATGCAAAATTAGCAAGTCTGTTGATGAGAAAATAGATTTGTGATGTATCATATGGTAGAACGACATAAGTTATTTGGATGAGGTCAATCAATGAGTTATTTGGTAGAATGAGAGGAATAAAATGAGTTATTTGGTAGAACGGCAAAATTAAGAGCTGTTAGGATGAGGTAATTCGATGAGTTATTTCTGCCGAAATAACTCGTTTGGCACAAATAAAATGGAATGTGTTAGTTTGTCCATGAGACATTTGAAATAACTCATTGTGAATTATTTGAACTAGCTACTCACCACCTAGTAGTTTCAAATAACTCATCTCTCAAAGTGGTGAAATGCCACAATATTTGAATGTTTTATCCAAACAAGACAATTAGAGACAATTACCACATTCCAATGTCGCAATATCAAAACAATGGAGCATTTTGATTCGAAATACCACAAGAACCAAACAGATGGCGCATCCAAACGACCCATCATTACCTGTTGATGGGAATTCTGATGATCTTTTAGAACGACGTCGTTTTCTCCGGTAAAGCAATGCCATCCCACAGCCAAATACTAACCCTAGGATAACGGGCAAGAGAACATATAATAACAGTAGACGGCCTCGCTTCTTCGATTTCACATTCGTCGTGTTGCCTTGAGTTGTTGTCGTTTGAGTAGTTGACAGTTGAGTAGTTAAAGCTGCATCATGCTAGTATTATTAGTTCATGATCTTCGATCGTTAGATAAATGCGAATAAAATTATTGTACCATGTAGCATAGAATTTATCAAGTTTAAAGGGTTTGCGATCTCTTTACTAATAATAGCAACCTAAAAAACCATTACAGTATAATAAGTAGGATGGACAATAAGTGGCTCGAGTGAATTTTCGTCTCAAACTGACTCATCCACTGGACACTTTTATTGATGGAGAAAATTTTGCAAACCTGCGGTAGAAAGAGTCCAATTATCATCAGCACCAACATGCCACACGTAGTAGCCAAGCAACCCTCTGTTCTTAGCATAAGCAACCTTGGCCGAAACGCTCCGAACGTCGTCGTATCCGATCCAAGTCGTCCCGCTGTAACAATAGTCCGAAATCACCGCCGGATCAAACACTTTGGTCGCTCTGTTCTGAGCAATAAACTCATTGATCTCATCATACCCCGCCGACCCATCTCCGGCCAATCCCGCTCCGTTCGCCGGCGAGAAAATACCCCGGTTCCGGGAGTCGCTGAGCCTCCACGACCAGCCGTAGAATGGGATTCCTAGGACGATTTTGTTTGCGGGGAATTGGGACTGGATCCACGAATTAACCCCGCTGTCGCCGCTCTCCCGGCGGCCGGGATTGTAAAGAGCCGCCGGCGGGCCGGCGGTCGTCGGTGACCACTCGGGGCCGTAGAAGTCATAGGCCATTAGGTTGATCCAATCGAGGGTGTTGGACATTGTCAATACGGGGTATGGGACAGATAGAGAATAGTAGTAGGATAAGTAGAGGACGGCGGCGGATAAAAGCAGAGGTGGCTTGCCGGAGCTCTCTGCCTCCGCCGCCACGGCGGATTTCCACCCCGTGAGGAGGTCTCCGAAATTGGCCATCTGGGTTGTGTCCGAAGGGTACTGCCAGTCGAGATCCAAGCCATGGAAGTTGTATGATCTTGCTGTAAAAAAACCCAATTTAGTTCGATTGCAAATCGAATTGGTAACTAACTTCACTAAATTAAGGAAAATTTGCTACTCTAACTTGATATACAGTGATACTCACCAAGGCTTATGGATGAATCGATGAACGCCTTCCTTCTGCCGGGTTGATTGGCCATGGCAGCCAGAGTCGTAATATTGGCGTCGCCGCCGCCGATCGACAAAAGGGTTTTCACCGACGGGTTTGCACGCTGTACCGTCTGGGTAAAGGTGGAAAATTCCGGCTGATTCGCGGCAGAGACATTAACCCGGAAGGTCCCCGAATCAACTCCGGCGAATGCAAAGAAGAGGTGAGTGAAGAGCGTGGAGTTGATGGCAGAGGCGGCGAACCCACTTCCCGGGAACCAGTAACCGCCTCTGACAACGGTCGTCGTTTGCGCGGCCGCGGGGCGGCGGAGGAGAGCCAACAGAGCGACAGAGAGGAAAAGAGTAAGTAGCCTGGAAGGCGCCATTTTGGAAGGAAGACAAAAGGAGGGAAAAAACAGAGGATAGATTGAGAAGACCGACAATGGTGGGAGATTGTAAAACAGAGAGAGGTTGAATGGATGAGAACTCCAAATGAATGGTGGCAGACTTTTCCACTGATGGTGACGGTGGTTGAAACCTTGCAGAAGGGTTAATAGGCGGTGTTACGATGAAATGGAGCTTGATAGTGATGACTGTAAGAGTATGGTATAAGATCCAGCAGAACCTTAAATCTGTCCTGTGGGTATATTCGACATGACCCGCAATGAGCGGGTATTATCCGATCCGTAGTAGTATGAGGTGAGGAATGTAAATTTGTTTTTGATATGTTCTGATTCGTTCTGCCCCGTTTTTTTCTCATTCAATTGAAATTTCTTACAGTAGATATATATATTTCTCATATTTTAACTTTTCTACAACTAGTCAGAGGCGATCTTTCAACTAGGGGCTGGGAAACGGTGCGGTCTGGTCCAGACCAGACCATATATACGGTCTATGGTCCAGACCGAGAGGCTGAAGTATAGACCACAAACCAGCCCACAGACTATACGGTCCGGTCCAGACCACGCCTATGCGGTCTGGTTCGGTCTGGTCCAGATAGACCACACTCAACAAAAAATGAATAATTTGTTTAGTCAACCACACAAAAAATTGAACCAATAACCAAGAAAAATCATTGTTATTTGCCTTAAAACATTAATCCTAATATGCATGAATAATTTTGATACCTTAAATCTTAGTACATAACAAAGATACAAAGTAAAAGCATCCCAACTTGCACCATAACGTCATAAACATTAACATAATGTAATATGGAGACACGATTAGCTCTACTCTCTGGTTAAATGTGGTTGTGAATGAAGGAGGGACGAGATTCACAAACTAAGGTTGAGACTTGGGTGTCGTTGTGGGAGTTGGGAGAGTGGTCGAATGGGATGTTAACACTTATTGACATGTCGGTTGGGTCCACGGTTTGGTCCGGTAAACCGCGGTCTAGACCAGACCAGACCAAGAGATCAAAACATAAAATAATACAGACCATGGACCAGACCAGACCATACTTAACGGTCTACGGTCCGGACCAAACTGTGCGGTACGGTTTGGACCACAGTTTTTCTAACGGTCTGGTCTATTTTCCCAGCCCTACTTTCAACTTGTTAGACTCAATTATACATTTTATTATCACTATTTTCTTTCATAAAGTATTTCCCCCTTCGTTTTATCGTAAAGAGTAAAATTTTCGTGTATTTTTTCTAAATTTCATGTAATAGTGGGTCGACCCACCCCGCTTTATACCCGCACGAGTTTGACATGGCTCGATCTGCAGTAACATGGACTGGGGAATAAATATTAACGTATTTGCCCCGGCTCGCTCCATTGTCATCTCTATTTACGATGATTTAGACTGGTTCTCTCTGCAACTAGTTGCATGGAAAAGAGGGAATTTGGAATGGTCAATCGTTGAAAATTCTAAAATTCAACTAGCTTCGTGTAAACTAACTTCTGCAAATACAACACGAGCTAGACTTCGAGTTCTTCGTGTAAACTAGTCTCCTTGTCCCACCTCAACTTTACGTTAGCATGATTCAACCTGTAAAAGTTTTCTCATTGGTCATTTAAGTACTCAGTTATGATTTTGTTAAAAACGAATCAAATACAATGTGGTCCGATCTTTAGTAACATGAATTTTAGAAATATTGAAGAAAAATGAATTAAATTGACATTTAGACTTGATCAAATCGGACCTAATGCAATGTTGGACTGATAATTGGTTCTAAGATGACTTTCACTATTGAGTCGCGGTTCTCATGAAGTGCACACCCATACATACATATACCCTTTGTTATAGGTACCCCGGTTGGATATGTCGACCAACCAACCAACCAGTTACAATAGGGGGTCGATCCATTTATTTGGACGATCAGTAATGGACTAAAAGATTTTTAATGATTGGACACAAAACTAGTTGAACCATCTCGATTTCATTGATCCACCAATTCATTATTTTCACCACAAAAAAATTGTAATCTTGTTTGTGATTCAATCTTATTTGTACATATTTTTGACCATCGATGAATTTGGAGTTGGAATTGGTTACGATTAATCTGAAATTCAGTTTTAAATTAATGTGCCATATAGTATGTACATCCAGGGGTGGAGCCAGGCTAGTATTTGGGGTCCAATGCCCCCCGGCCCCGCGCGATAATTACTAACGGGTCGTCTGCTTCGTGGATTCGAAAAATAAAGGTTTTGATAAAAATCTGGCTTCTAAAATCCCATTGATATACAAGGATTTTGAATTCATTATGGACTTGATAAACGACATTGTTTGTTGTTTCATAATGGATTTTCTTAATTAGATTTGTACATATGAAGTGAAATTGATCTTATTGCCCTCATTGGTACGATAAGTGAAAGGAAATTAGAGGGAGGAGTAGGTTGGTCACAAATGATGAACTTCAAGTCCATGACCAATTTCCACCTAAAGGAGTGAGATTTTCATGTCTGTGGGAGTCCTGAATTTGGTCCCCATGAATTTGTTGCCCCTAAATACATGAAGAAAACAATGAAATTTGAACAAATTCCATAATTAATCCAAATCCATAACAAAAACCATCAAACAAACAACACTATATTGCAAATATGCACATAAGATAATCAAATATTGACAAATGACAATTGATACTAGAGAAGATAGAAAACCACCGACATAATTTCATTAACCTTATCGAATATCGACGGAACCGATTAAAACAAAAATGAGGACCAAATATGAATCTAAAGTATGTTTAGTTCATTTGATTCAATTCGACTCGATCTAAATTCAATTTTAATCCCTCATTTTGCATATTTAAAACAGTTCATACGATAAGAACCGATTCGAATACATTTCATTCCCGTACATAATTGTTTCCCACCCCTAATCCAACCTGTATTGTACTATTTGAATCTCTTCCTCAAACACATAACCGACCAACCATTCCTTAAGCTCCCCATGCCTGCGATGCTGCCATAGCCAGAGAAAAGAAACAATCACACGTATGAGTACGGAAGACGATGATCTCTTTCACAAAACAAAAGAGAATTCCATAGTTTAACCAGACAATTTCAATGGAGGAAAACATTTGCAAACCTGTGGTGGAAAGAGTCCAATTATCATCAGCACCAACATGCCAAGCGAAGTAACCACCCAACCCTCTGTTCTTAGCATAAGCAACCTTCGTCGAAACGCTCTGAACGTCGTCGTATCCGATCCAAGTCGTCCCGCTGTAACAATAGTCCGAAACGACCGTGGAATTGAACACTTTGGTTCCCCTGTTCTGAGCTACAAACGCATTGATCCGGTCATACCCGGCCGAACCATCTCCGGCCAGTGCCTTCCCGTTCGCCGGCGAGTAAAGCTCGTGGTTCTCCGGGTCAACGAGCCGCCACGACCAACCGAAGAACGGCATCCCCAGAATGATTTTTTCGGCGGGAAATTGCGACTCGATCCAGGAATTGACCCCGTTGTCTCCGCTCTCGCGGCGGCCGGGATTGTAGAGGGCCGCCGGCGGGGCGGTCATCGTCGGCGACCAGGGGCCGTAGAAGTCGTAGGCCATCAGGTTGATCCAGTCCAGGGAGTTTGATATGGTCTGGACAGGATATGGGACGGAGGGAGAGTAGTAGTAGGATAAGTAGAGGACGGCGGCGGATAAAAGCAGGGGAGACTGGCCGGAGCTCCTAGCTTCCTCCGCCACGGCGGCGCGCCATTCTGCGAGGAGGGCGCCGAAATTGGCCATCTGGGTCGTGTCCGATGGGTACTCCCAATCGAGATCGAGGCCGTGGAAATTGTACGATCTTGCTGTAAAAAGGTAACCTTTGTTGGTAAATGGGATATGATATGAACCTCTTATAACAATTCGAATTATTGAAATCAATTGATTCTTGAGAATATTTTTAATTCAGATCCTACAAAATTGTGTATCTCCTCTTGGCTCTCACTTGGCACTCACCAAGGCTTATGGAGGAATCGATAAACGCCTTCCTTCCGCCGGGCTGGCTTGCCATGGCAGCCAGAGTAGTGAGATTGGCATTGCCGCCGCCGATCGACAAAAGGGTTTTCACTGACGGGTTCTGGCGCTGAACCGTCTGGGTAAAGGTCGAAAATTGAGGCTGATTCGCGTCGGGGACAGTGAGCCGGAAGGTCTGCGGATCAACGCCGGCGAACGCGCAGAAGAGGTGAGTGAAAAGCTTGGAGTTGATGGCGGAGGATGCAAACCCGCTTTCCGGGAACCAGTAACCGCCTCTAACGACGGCGTTGGGGGATTGCGAGGCGGCGGGGCGAAGGAGGAGGACCAGCAGGGCGGCGGAGAGGAAAAGGGTGAGTAGCTTGGAAGGCGCCATTTTTGCTGGAAGGGAGACAAAAACAGAGCAGAGGGGAAAACAGGGGATGCTTTGAGAAGGGGAAATGGTGAGGAGCTTCATAGCTTGTATAGAGGGTTGGATTGATGGATGGAAACGGCAAAATTTTGTTGATTGAGTCAAACTCGGTGGGGATAAAATGACGATGAAGAAGAAGAAGAAGAAGAAGCAAGCTATGGAGTGCTTGAATAAATTTGGAGCTTCTTCTGGAATGGTGATTTTATTTGAAGTGTTTCAATGGTTAAACCACTTAAAGGGTTCTCGTGGGAAATGTTGGAAATCGGTAGGTAACAAATATCGAACCCGATTGTCCTATGTTTTTGTTGACATCTATAGGTTTAACTTTAGAATTTAGAATCGGATAGAGTGATAACATCCATAAGTTTTAGCACTATGTTAATATAACTCATTAATGATATTTTGGTAATTGTTGTCCGTTGTCATTGATAACATCGGATTTGCACATGTTTGCACCCTCGTTTCTTCTTCATTTTGGCTTGAGTTCTTGCTTTCTGGGACTATTTTACGCTAGGTTGTGTTCCTTTGTCACATTTCAGGTCCTAGCATGTAAATTGAAGCATAGGCGCAAGTTTCAAGTCAATCGGAGATCATTTGGCAATTCGGGAGAAGAAACACGAGCATGACCTGAGGAATAATGGACTTCTACCTCATATCATGGACAAATAATCATGTAATTTTGTCATGAAAAGAAATAGGACAAGACTATGAGTGTCTGGGATCAAACGACGACTGATTCGGAGTCCGGACGAGGGAGAAATGAAGCATTAAACAGAGGCTGGGTAAGCCACACGGGCATCCTGGAACTCCACACGGCCGTGTGGGTCGTGGCCGTATGGAAATCACCGAGCCTTCACACGGGCAGCTGGGAAAGCCACACGGCCGTGTGGCCTGGCCGCGTGATCGGGAATTTCTGTTTAAAACCCGATTTTCAGCAAAAGGAATGGGGAGAGCGGGGTTTTTGGTTCCCAAACACCCAAGGGACGAACCCTAGAGAGAGAGACCGACTTGGGAACATTCTTGGAGCTATTTTGGAGGATTTCTTCGCCATTGGAGCTCGGGAATCAAGCTTGGAGATGGAGATTGAAGATCTAGATCAGATTTCTGTAGTCTCTCTCTTCTCTATGGAGTAACTTCCCTTTACTTAGGTTTTGAGGAACCCTAGTTCCATGAGTTAGGATCTTTCTTGTATGAAGTTTTGGATGCTATATTGTTTGATTATAATCGATTGAGGCATGATTTATTGAGTCAATTGAATCTTGATCAAATTCTCTTGATTTCTGCTTTAACCTATGATAGATAGAATCTGATTAGGTTAAGAGAGCTTCCTTGATTGATAGTGGTGAATTGGTTGTGCGAGAGTCAATCAATTCACTGCTTTGTACTGGAATTCATTCCAGTAGTGGAGATCTGTGTGAATCGCCTTAGCAGTCTATCCCGGTGAAGGCTAGTCGCCTGCCGGGTATTCTGTCTGAGAGGGTTTGGTCAGCTTAAGAGATTCCAAGCTAATTTAGGATCTTCCGCAGTTTAATCAACAGTAGATCAACCAAAGGTAATTGCAACTTGGACCTAATTCAGGAGCTAGGGGGAATCATACCTAAGTGAGTTCCCAACTTGTAATTAGTAGAGTAGTTTAGTAAATCAATCCTTAATCTAGTTTGCTAGATAATGAACTGAAGCTGAGTAATAGTAACTCTAGAGACCCGTGGGTTCGATATTTATTACTTGTGCCACTATACTGCAGTCCCTTTCATTGGTTACACTTGGCCATTGTTAGGTGTTGTGTTTTAGCGTGTCAGTCATCCACTTTTATTTTCTTTTGAAGCAACTCCTCTCCTTCATCGTCCCTTCTTACGAAATGAAGAGCTGGAATCGTAGTCGACGAAACAAATCATCGCCATCCCCTTCCTCGTGTCGAGGAGCACACGTGTGATTGGGAGCACAGTGAAGACGAGGGAGTTGGTGATGATGGCGGCGGCGAAAACTAGGATAAGACGGTGTACTTTATTGGGTTTTTTTGTGTACTTTATAACATTTTTTGTTATATATGTGAAGTTCATGGTGTGGTTATTTTGTCTTTTTGGTATGATTCTCAGAGTTGTGAACAACTTTATAAGTTTTTAAGTCTACTTCAAAAAGCTTGTGGTAACTGGTAGTTTTGTGACGAGTTTTTTTATATTTTTTTTGTCTGCTTTATGTAGTTTCTGGTTTACTTTATGACTTTTGTGTTATGGTTTGTCATGTTTCTACAGGATATAGGATATACACTAAAAAATTTGAGTTGATACAATGCACATTATGGAACATACAATTTTATGTGATCATGTTCTGGCATGTGGCTCTGTAACTGTGACTTGATTTGTCGAGCAATTAGCAGGGGACTCAGGTAATTGTACTACATTAATGACAGCCTCACTGAAGAACCTGACGTCTCTGATCTCAATGTTCCTTTCATCTGCATTATCGTTGCTGTAGAAATCTCTGAGCATCGACGAAACCTTGTGCATACTCAACCTATCCATTGGTTTCCTTTGGATGCAGAGAAGAGCTATTCTCAAGCAATTCGCTAACTTGCAAGTTGAATTCGAGTCGTCTAGTGAACGATCCATGATCTCCATCTCTCTACCTTCTTTCCACAGTTCATATGCCTGCCACCCAACAATTAAGAAATGAAAGTTACAGAGTAGTCTTGCAACCCTTTTAAAGTTACATATGATTTAGATCTTACATAGACATGAAGCTCTAAATCTCCATCGGGACCGTAATGGGAACCACATCTCTTGCTGCTTATGATCTGCAGAAGAAGGATCCCGAAGCTGTAAACGTCAGATTTCTTGGAGTACACGCCATTCTGCAGATACTCTCGTGGGCAGTAAGCTCTACAAAAACAACAAGATTGAGTAAATTGTACTAGTAAATTAGGTCCATCATTAATCTTAGAGCTTATATCACCTTGTTCCAGAAATTCGTTCAGTGTTAGCTTCTGATGAATCTGTCAGCAAAATCCTAGCTAGCCCAAAATCAGATATCTTAGGCTTCATGTTATAATCCAGCAAAATGTTGCCCGGTTTGAGGTCGCGATGAACAATCGAATGGCCGGAATACTCTTGGAGGTATAAAAGGCCTTGAGTAACTCCTTCAATGATTTCCACTCTTCTTGCCCAATCCAACAATAAGTTCCTCACTGGATCTGATTGATCAAGATATATAACTTAATCATCATTCATCGGTTTGGGGGAAAATAGAGTTAACATTTCTCTTCATTATCCAACCATTAATTTTGATGGATAGAATATATGATAGTACTGACCGAAGAGGTAATGATCCAAACTGTTGTTGGGCAAGTATTCATAGACCAACATCCGCTCTCCTGCGTCGATGCAGTAACCTATAACCCTGACGAGGTTTACGTGTTGAAGTTGTGTTGTGAGCATTACCTCATTCTTGAACTCCTCGTCTCCTTGGCTCGAGTTTCTCGACAACTTCTTCACCGCTATCTCCCTTCCGTCGGCCAACACTCCCTGCATAAGCAGGTGTTAGCAGATATTTGGAAATGATCACTTGCATAATTTAGAACGAGGTGCGCGCGTATATGTGTACCTTATAAACAGGGCCATATCCACCTTGTCCGACCTTATTCTCAAAGGAGAAACCATTGGTAGCTATCTCAAGTTGTGTGAAGCTATATCGAACCGCTGACATTTTAGGGTTCTTCTCTCCCAATTCGCCCGCAAAAAATGTTGTTACATCCCTTCCTCCCTTTCCTGCATAATTATATAAATCAGCCAGACCATGTTGATAATAAAATGAAATAAAAATATAGACTTAATAGAACATCGTAATTACTTCTAGAATGACCTCGTTGTTGCACGTAAAACAATATCATCCCAGAGGCAAATGCTAGCCCTAGGATAACGGGCAAGAGTACATATAATAGCATCCTCTTTGATTTCCTATTTGTCGTGTCTCCCTGAGTTGTTGATATATGTGAAGTGAAAGCTGCAACATACTTATTCGTTTGATTATAATCTTCAATCGTTAGATGCAAACAAAACATATGGATTCAAAATTTAACGACAGAAAACATTGTTACAAACCTGTGGTAGAAAGAGTCCAATTATCATCAGCACCAACATGCCAAGCGAAGTAGCCAAGCAACCCTTTGTTGTTAACATAAGCAACCTTCGCCAAAACGCTCCGAACGTCGTCGTATCCAATCCACGTCGTCCCGCTGTAACAATAGTCGGAAACCACCGTCGAATTGAACACTCTGGTTGCTCTGTTCTGCGCAATGAACGCACTAATCCGATCAAACCCAATATACCCATCTTCAGACAAGCTCTCCCCATTCGCCGGCGAGTAAAGCCCCTGTTTCCCGGCGTCGGCGAGCCGCCAGGACCAGCCGTAGAACGGCATTCCGAAGACGATTTTGTTGGCCGGAAATCCGGATTCGATCCAAGAATTCACCCCTGCGTCGCCGCTGATCTGGCTGCGGCCGGGATTGTACAGCGCCGCCGGCGTGTCTGTGGCGTTCGGCGACCATATGGGGCCGTAGAAGTCGTACGCGATAAGGTTGATCCAGTCCACAGAGTTGGATATTGTCTGAACAGGGTATTGGACGGAGGGTGAGAAGTAGTAGGATAAGTAGCGGACGGCGGCGCACAAAAGCAGAGGCGGGTCGCCGGAGCTTCTGGCCTCCGCCGTCACGGCGGCTCGCCATTCCGTGAGGAGGGTTCCGAAATTGGCCATCTCCGTTGGGTCCGAAGGGTACTGCCAGATGAAATTGAGGCCGCTGAAATTGTATGATCTTGCTGTAAAAAGTTTAAAAATTCAGCACCGCCTTTTGGAAGTGTTTTCTGTTTTAAAAGTGTAGGGCCAAATACCTATAAAAATTCGACTTCTGAAAAATTGAGAAATGCCTTTTTTAAAGAAAGAGTGACGTCTTAGCAACGAATTCGTATTAAGAATCGAACGATCATGAGCAATGTCCAAACTCAACTGTTTTAATAAGAATCAAACTCATATTAAAAGTTTAGGACCAAACACTCAATTGATTTTTTGAAAATTAATTTTCTAAAAACTCAAAGCTGTTATCCAAAAGTAATATCAAACTAGTATGTTAGAAATCGCTCCAAGTTGAAATGGTTTTGTCAAATGTTAATATCTTAAATCAGTATGAAAAATTGCGTCTCCTTTTTACTTGATGCTCACCAAGGCTTATGGAGGAATCGATGAACGCCTTCCTTCTACCAGGTTGGCTGGCCATGGCAGCCATAGTCGTGAAATTGGCGTCGCCGCCGCCGATCGCGAATAGGGTTTTCACCGACGGGTTCTGCCGCTGTACCGTCGGGGTAAAGCTAGAAAATTGCGGCTCGTACGCGGCCGGGACAACGACCCGGAAGGTCCTCGAAATAACTCCGGCGAACCTACAGTAAAGGTGAGTGAAAAGCGTGGAGTTGATGGCGGAGGCGGCGAATCCACTTTCCGGGAACCAGTAGCCGGCTCTGACGACGGCGGGTGCTTGCGCGGCGGCGGGGCGGAGGAGGAGGAGTAGAATCAGCAGCGCGGAGGAAAGGAAAAGGGTAGGTAGCCTGGAAGACGCCATTTTTAGAAAGGAAGACAAAGCAGGGGAAAAACAGAGGAAAAACAGAGGACGCCTTGATATGGAAAATTGATGAGAAGATCGATTCTGTCAAATCGAGAGGGAGCTTTTCTACAGTGATGGCGACGGTGTGAAATGAATCGGGCTTTCACATTTGCAGAGTACAAACCGACGCTTGGACTTTAAAACTTCTGCTTCCTCTCAGGGGACTTCAGACTTTGACGTAGCCTAATTTCTGACGAATCAGATCTCTGTTTTCATGACGTTGATTGGTGATGACGCAATACACAGATGTGGGTGGAATTTTCCTCTTTTGTAGACACTTCCGGTGGCTGGCCCCACACGGCGCGGTTCCCTCCTCACCAATGAGCAACGTCGCCGGCGCCGCGTCTCATCTTAGATGACCGGGCCTCGCTGCCGCCACGACCCAGAGAGTGGTTCATGGGTTTCCTCGCTAACCCAGACCCTTCAGGGTTCGGTTTGGTTTCACTGATTCACTCTATGGTTCGTATGGCGTTCGTGGAATGATTTCATTTTGGGGGGGACCATTGCACCATCAAGCATAACATCGGACCAAACTATCTCGCTGGAGAGGTCGGGGGTCACGTCGAGACGTGGCTGTAGGGTGGAGGCCGACCCCGACATAGTGGATTACAGTGAAACTGTCTGACGGATAGCTTTTGGGCCCATCAGGGCCATCCGTTGCAAGAGGGGCGCTGAGAGAGATGGGAGATGTCGTTTATTGGAGGCCTTGTCGATGAATCTAAGAAGATTGTGTTGATAGGACTTGAATCGGAATATCAGCCGCTACGACTGGTAATCGAGGGTCTCGCTGCCCGGTCAGCGAGTGGGGTCCAGGGGCAACGCCCTCGGCCCACGGTGTATGGGCTCAATGTTATTTGGGTTCGGGTTCTGGGTCTGGTCTGTAACCGTTTCCTTTGTCAGATTGGATTAGGTTTAGACCCACATGGAGAAGTACTATAAATACTTCTCATACTCCTCTGTAATCTGTAATCTCCTCGATATAGTGAAACTGGCTCTCTCTCGCCCGTGGACGTAGCTAACACACATCGTGTTAGTGAACCACGTAAATCGTGTGTCGTGTTTTCGATTCTCTCTTTCGTATTCTTGCTTTGTCGATTCCGGCGATTTCCCGATCCGTAGCAGCGCGTTTTAACAAGTGGTATCAGAGTCGCGGCTGGAAATCAGGCTAGGGTTTTTTTTCAATTCAGAAGAATGACGTCGGTGAACATGAAGATCGAAAAGTTCACGGGGAAGAACAGCTTCGCTATATGGCAGATCAAGATGCAGGCTTTATTAAAACAGCAAGGGCTGTGGGGGCCGCTGTCTGCGAAACAGAAGAAGGCAGCGGTCGATGACGATGAGTGGAATACCCTGGAGGAGAAGGCCCACTCGACCATCATGCTATCGTTGTCTGATGACGTCATCATTGAAGTCGCTGCTGAGAAGACTGCCGCGGGCTTGTGGTTGAAACTAGAGAGTCTGTACATGACTAAGTCTCTAACCAACAAGCTGCATCTCAAGCAACGGTTGTTCAGCTTGAGGATGCAAGAAGGTACGCCTTTGAGGGAACATCTCGAACAACTTAACTCTATTTTGCTGGATCTGCGTAATATAGATGTTCAAGTTGATGACGAGGATGCTGCCCTAATCCTGCTGGTTTCTTTGCCGAGTTCATATGAGAATTTCGTTGATTCTTTTATTGCTGGTAAAGAAAACGTGTCGTTGGAGGATGTCAGGTCTGCTCTTCATACGAGAGAGATCAGACATAAGGCGTCCGGATCTGGTACAGTTGGTGAGGCATCGGGTTTGGCTGTTACGGTGGAAAGGGAAAGAAGAAATCTGGTAAAGGGAATTCGAGCAAGAATTCCAAGGGTCCCGGTCCACAGCCAGGTGATGCTTGTCACAACTGTAAGGAAGTGGGCCATTGGAAGTACAACTGTCCCAAGAGAAGAGGGCAACAGAAGAAACAAGGTTCAGTTGCCGTGGCAGAAACAATGGTCTGGAGTTCTGCAGTTCTGAGTTCAACGAATTTTGCAAGGATGAAGGGATTGCCCGTCATCGGACTGTTAGAGATACACCCCAGCAGAATGGCGTTGCAGAAAGGATGAACCAGACATTGTTGGAGAGAGCACGGTGCATGCTCTCTAATGCTGGACTAGAGAGAAGATTCTGGGCAGAAGCAGTAAACATGGCGTGCTTCCTGATCAACCGTGAACCACACACAGGTATCGAGTGTAAGACTCCTTATGAAGTGTGGTATGGTAAGCCTGCTGATTACTCTTCACTGAAAGTTTTTGGGTGTCCTGTTTATTATCATGTGGATGAGGGTAAACTGAACCCAAGGGCAAAGAAGGGTGTATTTGTGGGTTACGGAGATGGAGTTAAGGGATTTCGAGTCTGGTCACCTTCTGAGCATCGAGTTATACTTAGTAGAAATGTGATATTTGATGAGAAGTCTATGTTTAACCCCATGTTGAAGGTTACTGTTGCTGAAGGTAGCAGGAATGTTGATAAGCAGGTGGAGCTGCAAACTCTCAATGAGAGTGAGTTTGAGCACCAAGGTGGAGAAGATCAACATGATGAGGATGTCTCTGCAGAGCCAGAAACTTCAGAGTCCAGTGCACGAGCTCAACAATCTATTGCTTCCGGTAGACCGAAGAGAGCGACTGCAGGAGTACCTCCACAGAGGTATGGCTTCGAGGACATGGTGGCGTATTCATTTCAGGTTGCTGAGGAAGTGGATGCAGGAGAGCCACAGTCCTATAGAGAAGCAGTTTCGGGTGGTGAAGCTGATCAGTGGCTTGCCGCAATGGGAGATGAGATGGAATCCCATGACAGGAATCAGACTTGGGAGCTAGTCAAACGACCACAGGGAAGGAAGATTGTTACAAACAAGTGGATCTACAAGAAGAAGGATGGAATCACTTCTAAAGAGGGCATGAAATTTAAAGCTCGGGTGGTTGCACGAGGCTTCTCGCAGAGGGAAGGAGTTGACTACAATGAGATTTTCTCACCAGTGGTCAGACATACTTCAATCAGAGTGCTACTAGCAATAGTGGCACATTATGACTTGGAGCTCGAGCAGCTAGACGTGAAGACAACTTTCCTACATGGAGAGTTGGAGGAAGAAATTTACATGACTCAGCCAGAAGGATTCGAGGTTCCGGGAAAAGAAGACTATGTTTGTAAGCTGAAGAAGTCCTTGTATGAACTTAAGCAATCTCCGAGGCAGTGGTACAAGAGATTTGACAGTTACATGGTTGAGCTGGGCTACAACAGAAGTCCATATGATTGTTGTGTATATCACAGCAAGGCAGAGGATGGTTCGATGATATATCTAGTTCTGTATGTGGATGATATGCTCATAGCTGCGAGGTCAAAGTCTGATATCCAGAAGTTAAAGGGGCTTCTCAGTGCCGAGTTTGAGATGAAGGATTTGGGAGCTGCTCAGAAGATCTTGGGTATGGAGATTTACAGGGATAGGTCGAAGAAGAAGCTTTTCTTGTCACAGAAGAGCTACATCCAGAAGATATTGTCGAGGTTTGGCATGTCTTCAGCAAAGCCCTTAAATACTCCTAGTGCTTCAAATGTTCATCTATCCTCAGCTTATGCACCACAATCAGAGGCTGAGAAGGAGTACATGTCGAGAGTCCCATATGCTAGTGCAGTAGGTAGCTTGATGTACGCTATGGTATGCACTAGACCTGATCTTGCACATGTTGTTAGTGTTGTCAGCAGGTTTATGATACAACCTGGGAAGGAGCATTGGCAGGCTGTGAAGAGGATCTTCCGGTACCTTAAGGGTACACCTGATGTGGGGATTAGCTTCGGAAGTGATACAGAGTGCTTGGTGTCTGGGTATTCTGACTCGGACTATGCTGGAGATGTTGACACGAGGAGATCGATGACCGGTTATGTATTCACTCTTGGGAGTTCTGTAGTGAGCTGGAAGGCAACTCTGCAGTCGGCGGTGACATTGTCTACTACTGAGGCAGAGTATATGGCGTTGACAGAAGCTGCTAAGGAGGGAATATGGTTGAAGGGATTGGTTGGTGATCTGGGTCTACATCATGATCAGGCAGTGGTGTATTGCGACAATTTGAGTGCAATATGCTTGGCCAAGGATCAAGTCCACCATGAGAGGACTAAGCACATCGATGTGAGGTATCATTTCTTGAGGACAGAGAAGAGGATTAAGGTGCAGAAGGTTGGCACCGCGGATAATCCTGCTGATATGTTCACGAAGCCGGTTCCACATGGCAAGTTCCAACACTGCTTGGACTTGCTGAATGTCTTGAGTGGGTGACTCCGCCCTACGGGGCATTGATGGCGGGAGAGAGAGGAGCAGAGTACATCAGAGATTTCAGAGGAAGAGGATTCAAGTCAAGGTGGAGATTTGTTGATATGACTTGAATCGGAATATCAGCCGCTACGACTGGTAATCGAGGGTCTCGCTGCCCGGTCAGCGAGTGGGGTCCAGGGGCAACGCACCCGGCCCACGGTGTATGGGCTCAATGTTATTTGGGTTCGGGTTCTGGGCCTGGTCTGTAACCGTTTCCTTTGTCAGATTGGATTAGGTTTAGACCCACATGGAGAAGTACTATAAATACTTCTCATACTCCTCTGTAATCTGTAATCTCCTCGATATAGTGAAACTGGCTCTCTCTTGCCCGTGGACGTAGCTAACACACATCGTGTTAGTGAACCACGTAAATCGTGTGTCGTGTTTTCGATTCTCTCTTTCGTATTCTTGCTTTGTCGATTCCGGCGATTTCCCGATCCGTAGCAGCGCATTTTTAACAGATTGTACGATCACTCGTGCGAACTAGGTGATCTCTCAAATGCCTTCGGCTAGCATGAGATGTCGAATACAAGAGAGTCGAGCTTCAGCTAGACTCTACTACAACCATTCATTTACTCTCGGTGGATACACCACCAACATGCTAACATCATCCTAGCTTTTCGGGAACTACATCGAT